CCCCCCCCCCCCCCCTCCCAGGGCAGTGCTACTGATTGAAGTGTCTTTAGATCATTCCTAAAGGGGGGATATTAACAACATTTTCTTTTGCACAGTAAAGTTGTAAATGTGCTGATTTATCAATGTCATGCTCATACTGTGCCGGAACAACATAGGGGAACTGCTGCTTTTTCTTTCCTCATCCTTACTATCGTCACTTTTCCTCTACTTCTTTTGTATGTTTGTTACTCTCTTGTGACCTGCTATTTCCGGGGTGCCTTGATAGTCGAAGCAGACTTTGTGCCGTTGAGGCTAGAGAGGTGAGCAGAGTAAGCCTTATTCCACGTTTGGACTTCTCTGTTGACATCCACCCCTTGGCGCTCATATATGCAGTTGCGAGCGCCGTAAACCCTTACTAAAACTTTTAAAAAGTGGTCAGCTTGCCTCACTTGTTGTCATGAAGTTGTGCATTCAGGGGTTCGAGCCTCTGGGCCGATGTTGTGTCTTTGGGAAGGACATTTTACTCAGATTTAACAATAATAATAATAATAATAGTAATAGTTATAATAATAATGAAAATAATAATAGTATTGATAGTAATAATAATATTAATAATAATGATAATGATAATAGTAATGATGAGAGTAATTATAAAATAATAATAATAATAATAATAATAATAATAATAATAATAATAATAATATGATAGTAGTAATAATAATAGTTATAATAATAATAATAATAATATTGATGGTAATAATAACAATAATAAAGATAATATTTACTATAAGAATAATAGCAATAATAAAGATAATATTTATTATAATATTATTATTATAGTAATAATAATAATGATAATAATAATAGTAATGGTGATAGTAATTGTAGTGAAAATGTTAATGATAATAATAATAATAATAATAATAATAATAATAATAATAATAATAATATAATAATAATAATGATTATGATGATAATAATAATAGTAATAGTAATAATAATATTGATAAATAATAATAGTAATAATAATAATAGTAATAATGATAATAATAATAATGATAATGGTGATAGTAATGATAATAAAAATATAAATGATAATAATGATAATATAATAATGATATTAATTATAGTAATAATTATAGTAATAATAATAATAATAATAATAATAATAATAATAATAATGGTAATTATAATAATAATTATCCCTGACGGGATTCAAACCAAGACCTTACGGTTGCGAGTCGGAGAGCCTAAATACTAGGCCACTGACGCTCAGATGGGAATGGGTACCCAGTGGTAGACAGTCAAAGACTGCATTCGTAACCGTGAGGTTGTGGGTTAAGGGGTTCGAGCCTCAGGCCCAACGATGTGTCCTTGGGGAAAGGTACTTTACACGGTTTTCCCCAATTGGCTCTGCCCTTTTTCAGAGACGGATGTTAAATCTGAGGTCCGGCCTCTTAAATAACCTAATGCTATAGTGCTGATAGGGAGGGGCATTAAACCTGTATCATATCTATTTTGCCTCAGGCCCAACGTTGTGTCCTTGGGAAAGGCGCTTTACACGAATTTTCCTCACTTCACCCAGGTGGGAATGGGTGCCCGCTCATAGGCAGCAAAAGATCTTATCACTATGTTAATGTTTTAGCAACTGTGCCTGTAAAATGGCAGCTTGCACTGTATGCTTCCCAGAAAGTTGAGATTGTTTCGAAATGCTATCAGGTCTGGTGGCATGGAATAACATCAATAACACCCAGTCAGGATAAGGAAAGGAGAAAAGTGTTTGTTCGTCTCCTATACCCTGATCCAGGGTGAGAAAGACGATGATGATGATGATGATGATGATGATGATGGTGAAGGTGATGATGATGATGATGAGATCTGCTGGGGTAATAATATACAATGTAAATCGCATAGAGCTTGCTGTTGACCGGGAATTTGCACTACAGATGCACATTCTAATTATTAGTATTATTTATTATTATTTTCCTCGTAGGTTTGCTTTCTCAGGTCTGCTGGGGTAATGATATATATATATATATAGATTATAAAGTGCATAGAGCTTGCTGTTTAGCTGGAATTTGCACTATATAAATGCTTATCATTATTATTATTATTATTATTATTATTATTATTATTATTATTATTATTATTGTTGTTATTATAATACTTATTATTATTATCATCATTATTATTATTATTTTCCTCACTGGTTAGCTTTTCCATGAGGATCAGTATGAGTGGAATTTTCATTATCATCATTATTATTATTATTATTATTATTATTATTATTATTATTATTATTATTATTTCAATGTTTATGTTTCATAACTCATTTGGGTAGGGGAAATACTATAAGGATGTGAGCCCAAAGGGGAAATAATGTGTGATATAGTGGGAGGTTTGAGCATTTAAATAGTTACAATTCTTGACATAAACTATTGACCCTCATTTTAATATGGCAAAAACAGAGATTTCTAAAACTCTTTGTGTTGTGTGTTGAGGAAAAAAAACCTTTTGTTCGTTTGTTGATAAAAAGCTGTGGGTAGTTGGTGGCTGCTCTGATGTCGTTTGCTCCTTCTTTCCTAACAAACACCTATCATCTTTATCTCTCCTCCTTCTTTCCTATCAAACGCCTATCATCTTTATCTCTCCTCCTTCTTTCCTATCGAACACCTATCATCTGTATCTCTCCTCCTTCTTTCCTATCAAACACCTATCATCTGTATCTCTCCTCCTTCTTTCCTATCAAACACCTATCATCTTTATCTCTCCTCTTTATTTTTCTGTGTTTGTTACTCTCTTGTAACACCTCTAATCTTCGGACAACTTATATGACCTAAATGTGTTGCAAGTGCCGTAAAACTCTTACTACAACAAAAACCGTTTTGTTTGTGTGTTAAGGATGAGGAAAACCGAGGGCTGGGTCAGAAGGTGAAGGACGCGGAGGAGGAGAGGAATCGTCTG